GTTCAGAATCTAAAAAATTCATAAAATTAAATTATGTTTGGCAATACACTTTTTGTACATCACTTAAAAATTAAAAAAAAATTTTATCTTGCGTGTTGATACTTGATACATCATCAAAAAAGTAGAAATCATAATAATAAAAAATAATCGTATACAATTTGACTGTCAACATTTTTAAGTTTTAAACACGCGATATCGGATTAACGACAGAACATGTACTGGTCGTACTGACAATATTGTCGATTATGTCAGAATGACAAAATATCTATTGGTAAAAACCAGTAAATATATAATATGATATAATTATAAATATAAGCAAACATAGGTTGCCCATGCCCATCACATAGATAATCGTCTTGGTAGGTCCAGTAGCGTATATAGAAATAATTTTTGGGGTGGGCTATAATATATAGCGACTAACAATAATTATCTAGCACCTAGAGACTACAATATAGTTAACAGTTAATACTGTAATTTCGGGAGGGACTAAAGCCCACAAGGCCCCCCCCCCTATATTCGCCACTGGGTAGGTCACACACTAAACCAGGTAATCCAGATATGAGATAGGTCACATACTAAACGAATACCGTTACATTTTCAAAATATTTCAAATATTTTAAAGTTATTAGGCATTTGAAATTTTCCGTTTTTTTTAGTTTTTATTCTTTAAACGTCAACAAAATTTTAGTTACCTATCGGTGAAAAAACTTGAAAATTTAATACAAGGTTCCCCATAAGTTGATATAATAACAGTTGGAAAATATTAATAACATAGGTATAATCGAGTTTTTTTTATAATCATTTAAAGTTTAAATTTTAACAAATTTTATTCAATTGAAAATTTACAAACTATTTAGTTGTTAAAAATGTATAAAATGTTTATTTTAAATACCAAGAATTGAAAATTTTAATTACTGTTCCAGGTAAGTAGTTAATTCTGTAAACAAAAAAATCTAAAAATTATACAATCACAGTTTTTTTTAATAGTTATTTTAAGTTCAAATTTGGATGAAATTACGTATTAAATAACCAAGAATAACAATTTTTGTTTTATTGTTGTAATTTAAAAATATTATTCGTGGCCTGTTGGTACTTCAATTTCTATACCTAGTATATTTTATATTTTATATTCTAATATTAATAATTAATATCGTTAATGACTTAGGTATATTATTAATACTTTTTAATAATTTGTACTTATGTACTATGAATGACTGAGTGAGTCGGGTATATAATGAACCTGATTTGATTAATTTGTTATTTATTTTATAGATATCTACATTTTTTTTTGAACGAATAAAAATATAATTAGGTAATATGGTTTAAAATATTCTAGACTGAGAAACAGTCTCCGCTCAGAATAGTTTTTCGTATACAATTATATCAATGAAATTGAATTTAATAACATCCATTACAGTAACCCAATTGTGCACTACTGTACAGCAGAGTTAAATCTACTTACTCACTTTTTTATTTTTTAATTGCACATTATGCATTATTTCCAGAATTCTAAATTTAAAAAAGGTAAATTTATCAAATACAGTGAATTTTAATTCATGTTATTTTATCTATTTATTTAAAAATATAATATTTTAAAATGTTAAATATGATTAGGGAGATTGTCATATGATATTATATTATGTAGCGAGCTGCGATTAAACCTATAGATCATCTACACTATACGTAAAATAATTAATAAGAATATAATGATAGTAGTGATGAAAGCATGTAACAGCGTAATGACGATTATATTATTATGTTCATAATTAGGGTTGTAAAATTTCATGAAATTTTTTTTTAGGATGTGTTTCTTTAATGTTAAAAATATAAAAAGTATGATTAGTATAATAGAAATGACGATTATATTATTATGTTCATAATTAGGGTTGTAAAATTTCATGAAATTTTTTTTTTAAATATTTAATTTTTATGAAAAATAATAAAAATAATTTTAATTAAAATATAGAGTAGAAATTGTATTAAAATATTTTTTACTTAGTACATTATACAAATTACATAATATTCATATAAACATACTTGAAAAAGTTTCAAAACTCATGAAATACCTATATCAATTTATTAATTCATGTTCATTTAATATTTTATAGTTACTAATTAGTTATAGTTATAACCAGAGCCTCTATAA